TGTTAAAGGCCTTTCGCGGTGACGTCTCAATGCCGTTGCACTTTAATGAAAAATAGGAATATAATATAATACAGTGAACTTTAATGAAGTTTTATTTTTGTTTTAATGATAAAAGAGGTTTCGAGAAGCCTTAAAGTAAAAGTAACAGCCTGTGCACGTCCCACTGCTTTTACTATATATTTAACTAATCACAGATTAAAACAAAGTCCCCTCACCGCGCCTGCCAATTCGTCTGAACGCTATAAATCCCAAAAGAAATTTTCGTACATTAATATATAATTTTCATTCAGGGTATCAACAATAGACTATAGATAAATGAGGAACATTTAGATTAATGTTTTGTGTTGATTCACTGAGATAGTAAAAAATTGGCAAGCAATCGAACTCACACTTGACACCGATCGCTGTTTTCACAATAATATTTTTTTTTTGCAGATACTCTTTACTTTTACTTATATTTAGTATTAATATATGTTAAAAAAATACTCCGACTATAAATTGAGATAGACTATCCTAGACTATCCTATTTCTCAAGTTCGATCAAACGGCATGCAGTGTGTAAAATTTGATTAAAATCAGTTCAGTAGCTTAGGAGTTCATCACGGATAAATAAGACACGAAATTTTTATATATAAAGATTAGCTGTGTTAGGGCTTAAAAGGCCACGCATCTGCAACCCTACAGGTCTTCTTCCATGGGCGGCGGTTATCACTTGTGCTTAACATCAGGTGAACCTCCGGCTCGCTTGCCACCTTCTCCCACAAAAAAATTGTTTCGATAAATCGTATAAAATATATAGGCGTACCTGCTACCCATGAGAAGCCGGAGAGGGCTGTTATACAGAAAATGAACACTGTTAACAAGAACATTCCTGTGATCGACAGTACCAATGCATTCTTGTATCTTGTATTAACTGATGTTTTTGCTTTCAGTCCCGAGGCTATTAAAGCTTCATCTGACGCAGAACCCACGGGTTCGGGCCCTCCGCTATGGGTAGGGCCACGCATGTGCTCATGCGTGCGTTTAACTATGGTGTGTCATCTCAAAGTCAAAGTTAAAGTATATTTATTCAATATAGGCCTAACTTAAGCTCTTATTGAACGTCAACAAAAATCTACCACCGGTTCACTAAACTAGACCTGCACAGAGAAGAACCGGCAAGAAACTCTGCGGTCTTGTTTTTTTTGTTTTTTTTTTTCGATGCATTTATACACACTTATTTAGGTATAAAATCAGCAGCAGCCAGGGGTCTTGCAAGTGCAGAGCAAGAGTCATTTCCAAACATCCTTGTCCTCAATGTATTCTTGGATATTATAGTATTATTAAGGTAGCTTTTACAAATTGTTTAAAATTGTTTATACTTAGTTGTTTGTGGGTGTCACCTATTTTATTATCATCATCTAAGGGCCATCGAGGTCGTGGTTCGGACCGAAACCCCGATGGCCGTCGACTGTGCAATTAGCTTATCGGTGGCTGGGGGCGGTGAGAACCGCCCCGAAACGCGGGTGTACCTTGTGTACGTGTTGTGTTGGTCTCGCCGTGCTCGGAGGCGAGGTCGAACTAGTGTGTTTGTTGTTGCACTAACTGTGGGTGTAGTGTTATCCGGCGGGACCCCCGGCGGTGGCCCTACCAATGCATTGAAAATATGACTGAAACAAACAATATCCTTTATCCTTTTGCTAACAGAAATAATGAGCATTTTTATGAGTAAAAAATTTTAAAACATTCCTAAAACGTTTCATATTGTATAAGCACAAATAAATAATTAATCAGATTTAAAGATTACCGTTGCCTATAATGAAACCTATTGATGTGGCTGTGGATAAATAATTGATGAATATTCTATGGTTATATAACTGATTACATCAATTATTGTTCTTCCGCTTTTGATACATTGTAGTTTTTTCTAGTGGTTTCACCGTGTGAACTCTTGAACCTAGAAATAGAAGCGAGATAGGAATTGTTCCAAGTTGTCTTCATTGCGAACAGCGGCTTTTGTGGCGAAGGATGCCCGTATACCGGTTCATGTGCATTTTTTAACTACCTACTATAGTTGTATATGGAAGTAAATGTCCCACGTCTGGGAAAGGGAGCATAGAGTAGAGAAATCCGTAATACCCCGTGCACTTCTGGATGACTGGTGTGAATTTAAAATAAGAATTTTGTAAATTTTGGTTGGAATTTTTTATTGCTTCCTCCTTTACCTCCTAACATTTTCACCATTACGTGATTTTATAGCTAATTGAAAGTAAGAACTTAGCGTATTTTTGAAAAAAAATATTTTTGTTCAAAATTTTCAGCTATCTTGGCAAATTATCAGTAACAATTAGCTGTTTATGTGATTAAAATTATGTTAATATGATTATGAATATTGTGCTCGTATTTTATTTAAAGTTTAAAGCAAGTAAACGGTATGTCCGTATATTAAATTGGCCTCAGCGAACGTTAAGTCTCCAACTTATTGTATAAATCAACTTATTAACAATAATTGCTCGTTTCTATGCCCACCACGTATTAATTCTGTCGCCGACTGTACGCTTATGGGTGGGTACACTATGTCGTCAGGGGTACAAATATAATCCATATGCTATTGTATATTATTGTACAAAGTAAATTAGGTTTTTTATACCATTATGTTCTGCAATTACTTTTAATCCTTTATCATACACTGTTCCCTATTTTTCTTCCTTTTGGTAAATCACCCCGTTTTCAATTTCATTTAATAATATTTCAATGCAAGAATTAGGAGATATAAAAACATTGGCCAAGCATGACATAATACCGTCGCTCAGTGTTTTATTTAAGGACGACTCGACGGCGGAACGGACGGATAGCGAACTTGTCTCTTGCGCCAGAGGTTGTGGGTTCGATCCCCGCTACTGGAAGTATATTGCGATGACCATAGTGTTTTCCTAGTGTCTGTTTATATATCAATCTTGTTTATTTATTTAAAAAAGAAAAATATGTTTAATATCTTTATTAGTTAACAACAGTACATGTGTGTAACAAACAAAAGTGCTTTCATAACAATTCTAACGTATTACTTGTTAGGGCTTTATCACAATAGCATGCATTATACAATAGTACATTTGATTTTTAAAAAAATATTGTCAACTTTTAAATAAGGCTACTAAATTCATGTCTATTATAAATTAAAAATGTAACTATAATTTAAAACAGATGGTGATTAAACACGGAGAGAGATTTTTTGATCAAAAAATTCTAGCCACAAATGAACATTTGAAATAAAAAGTGAAATTTTTGTTAAGGTCATGCTTTTATTTATCTTTTAATTTTAGAACCTTTTAATAGTGAATCGCGTAGTAGTGTTAAGAAATCGCTTTATTTACACAGACTCACACACACGAAGCTCATCTGCCCTCTTATTTTCTTCGTCGACGCACCTCGTGATAGATCGGCTGCCAGTGCGAATTAGCCTTACGCTGACATTCATCATTCACTCAAATTGTATCTGTATCGAGCGGGAAAGCTAGCGTGTTGTCCGTTTTCCCTCGCACTAGTTCTTCTAGCTTCGCAACGTGAGAGCCGCTTTTTCTTGGAGCAGCTAGATTTTGTCTCCTTTATGGCGAAACGTATCGAAGCTGAGTGGGCCGCGCCATCTACGATGAGTTTAAGATCCAATTATAATAAATCGGCTGCGTCTAACATGGTTGAATACCGTGCTAGTTTATCGGAGCCACTTTCATACAAACGACTACTAATGCGAGGGTTTTTCGAGAAAAACTTGTGTGAGTGTGTACGCGTCTCAATTTCACTTTTCCTACGCGAGTTTTTACCATTACGATTAGACTATTACAGATTATAACGATTGCACTCTTGGGATTTAATAAGTTGCAAATTAATCAGAATACAATCAAGAACTGAGTCATTTCCGAACATAAAAAATTAGGATATATGGCTATAGTAATTTTCAATTCAATCGTTAATGCGTTACAACGTTTAACATATTCACCAGCACCCGTATAAACCATAATGGTTTTCCAGTTGCTATGTTATAAGTGTTGTTTATATACATATTTGGTAAATAAGTAAAATAAACATAACTGTAAGCAAATAACATAACCAAGACCTATCAACTACAGTCGACACAGCTATTTTTAGTGCTGTTTCGCGGGCTCAAAAAAATAAAATACCTTTCACGATTGCAGACATTTTTGATTGAAGCCCATTTCTTTTCACAAAAATCCGTATAATAAGATACTTTGTGTCTTGAAAAAAATAAAATATCTTCCACGCTTACGAACATTTCGATTGAACCCCATTTCATTAACAAAAAGCCGTTTGATAAGATCGCTTTGTGGTTTTTGGACTTTCCCCAATATCAGTGCAACACGCAACCGTTCCCCTATCGTTGCAAATAAATTAAAGGACCGCAATGGATGGTTTTACCTGCAATATTTGCACGTGTTAAAGCACCCACTAAAATTGTAGAGTAATAGTGTTTTTAATAATCTAAAAATAACGTCTAAAAGTAACGAATAAAATAATATTTACATTCGTATTCGTGGAAGTCACAAACGTGGTAATTGAGAGGGTTTTAAAACGTATTTATCAAAACTGCGCTAGATTAAAAACCACATTTAGAAACCACTCTGAATAACTGAAATTTATTTGCAGTTCCCAATGCCATAAAATATTAATACTTCCCAAACTTTTACAATATAAATAACTTATTATTGAAACTTTCACCTTAGAAAATCCGTTTCAGGGCAAAACAATCTATACTTTGTTGGTGTTTTATTCTAACGGCAGTGAGCAGACCCAACTATCTAATTTGTTTATATATTCCTTCGACTAAACAAAAAATCAGTTCAAGTTTTTATTTATCGATGTATCGTTAAAGTGTAAATCATTAATAAAGTAATTAACCAGCTATTATAACGTGATAAATAACGAGTGCTACATAAGCTGTTAAATAATGGACGGCTAGGAACGGAATAGCGTGCTACTTATCGCGTCTTTCACCACCCTCTAGCAGCATGAAAACGGAGCTATACGTCCACGCGAGCGAGGGGAGCGTATTCTATTTTCGGAGGCGCATTTCAGTTTCAGTGCGGTACCCGCGTGAGGGCGCGTCGGTCGTTGTTTCGTACACCGCTGAGTTACCGCCATTTTTGGACGTTTTCGCGATTCGATCACGTCACTCCAGTTATAATATTTCAAACGTCATAATGACAGTTGACGCGCACACGTCAGTGTCGGGAATTAATATAAAAGTAAGTCGTCGTATCCCATATTTACTAGATTTGTCAAGTTTGACGTTTTCATTACGCGATACCCGCTTAGCCGGTATAGCGGGTTACGCTCTATTGTTATTGCTGTATGTTCGTTTTGTGAAAGTTTAGTATACTGGTACGGATATACCAGTTTTCTGCATAATTGGTCTGAAGTTATGTTACCGCATAAGTCCCTCACTTTACTTTCATACAATACAATAAAGGAACAAAGCAAACATCCTAATATATCTATAGTACAATACTTTTAAGTAGTACTTGGCCCCCCATGTGGAATCCACGACAGCGTTAGTTATAATTTTCTTTTTAATCTTTCGTTTTTTACGTTATATTTATTACAATCGAAGACCTTTGAATATTGTTTACCGATGTCTACAAACTATATATAGATTGTTAGATTATAATAAGTATTTAATTTTTTAAGAAATCCAGAAGATTTCTCTGAATAGTCCTACTTGGGAATATTTTTAACTGTCTGCAAGAACACGTGCAAATTTGCAATGGCAGTCGTAACACAAAACGAGCAAATGCGCGACACATACGGTTAAAATAAACAGCGGTAAATCTAAGCTTGGTTTTACTTAAACACACTGCGTGCGAGATTTGCCTGTACGTTTGGTCAGGTTGTAAAGTAAAGATTATTGCACTTCATTAGCAACTGTTTTCATTAAATTATTTCCTATTGAATTGGAAATGAATTAATAAATTTTTCTCGTGATCTATTAATCTGTAGGAATTTTAATGATGGTTATCAGATGGAACTCGAAATCATCAATTTATTACTTACGAGCTCAGACTATTTACTGGCCTGCAGGCCTACTATTTACACTTCAATATTTACCTGTTAATTCCACGGATGGATTCAAACCTTACAATACAGATAAGGCAACCAAATTTACCATCCAAACGAATTTTGCAGATAACAGTCTTCGGACTTTTAAGGCTTTTGTTGCGACGTTTAGTAGATCGAAATGTTACTCTCACGAGTGGAGTCCAAACACTTCGAAAGCGTCTTCAAGGCAAGAGTGAATAGGCTTTTACTGAGCCGACGCTTACCATCAACGGCTGCATAGCCACTTACCATCAAGTATCCCACTGTGGCACTCGTGGCAGTCAAGCGCTGGTCAGTATGAAAAGGAAAAATAAAGAAATCCGCTTTAATAATGGACTCTCCTCCGCAGAGCTCACAGAACCGGCTGCTGATCAAGAATGGACGCGTCGTCAACGATGATGGCATGGAGGAAGCTGACGTGTACGTCGAGGACGGGATCATCAAGTGAGCACTACATAATTAATGTAATACGCACATCACGTGTCGCTGTTCTCAATTTTGTTGCACCTACCAAAAGTCCAGTTTTAGTCGGCGGTAGCTCTTTTTGAAGTCAAAACCTGGAAGGACCGAAGTATTTAGTAGATTATAGAAGGCGGTGTTGTTCTGATTTCATGTAGTTATCGATGGAATATCCTAGTACTAAATGACCGATGCAAAGTCGAGGATGTAAGATTGTCTCTTTACCAGATTTAATATCAGAACAACCTCACATGCTTGCCACTGAGAGTATACCTATAATTATGTGTTTCTTTAACGTAAGAAGTACTTTAAACCCATACGTCATTTTTTTTTGTATATTGCAAATTAATTTGCAATATACATATATCATATTATGTCAGCATATAACATTTTAGTTTTCCTTGTGATCCTCCTATTTAAAAATGAAAAAATATTTTCGTTTACCCTTATATTATACGAAAGAGAGATACGATAATATATTTTCATATTTAAAAAAAAAACATAATTGAATAGTTAGTTATAAAACATCTATCCTTTCAGCCCTTGTAAACGCTATTCTAAATTTATTTCAAACAACGTTTTCCGTTACGTTATTTACGTTATTTGCTGCAGTAAATTAAGCAAGATCTGAAAGGGATAAAAACCGACGATTCAAGCTCTGCTTGGGCACGAATCAATACTCTGCGTATAGAAGGCACACGCAGACGCGTCTCTGTTCTCTAGCTGGAATTTTCGCAATAGTCGTGTCCGTCGCAATCTCAACCTTAACTGCCCGCGATACGTTCCAATATGGAGTGAGGCTGCCATTTCGAGGGCGATAACCGTTGAACCCGTAAATTCGCTAAAGTGACACGATGTTAGGATAACGCTACGATTATCTTATCCTTTAAACGAGCAATTCTTGTATATACAGCGTGTCGTTACCATCGCGACAATAAATGAACACACGTCTAACGCTACGAGCCAATAATCATAAAAAAATATTAACATAAAACAAAATCCATAATTAAAAAAAAATATATTTTTCAAACAAACTAATTAAGTAAAAAAGAAACAAAATTTGTAACATCCTATACAACTCGCGCCACAGTGTCGTATTACAAGCCTCTCCTTCTAACAGTATGTTTTGTCTCTTTTAAATTCATTCAACCCATTCATATGCTTTGTGACCTTTACAAATGAACTTTACGTTACGCTTTTATAGGTAAGGGTGTTCTAAAATTCTTTGTTTTGGAAAATTTAATAACTCTGTAAATATTGATGTTTAAAGAATTTAAACGTTTAATACAACTTTAAAAACTTATCCCCTATATGTGTGTTCATTTATTGTCGCGATGGTAACGACACGCTGTATATATATAATATATATATATATATATAATCGGAATCTCGAAAACGGCTCGAGCGATTTTCCTGAAATTTATTATGTGCATAGATTCGGGGGCGAAAAATCGATCTATCTAGGTTTCATTTTTAGAAAATGTCCTTTTATCCCTGTTTTCAGGGAATGAAAAATATAATTCGAATATGACGGTAAATTTCGCCACAAGAGAAAATGTCAAAATAGCTCGGTCGGTAATCGGGCGGCCCCAAAACAGACGGCCGTGGTTCGCGTCACGATTATTTACACATTTATTTTTTTTACTTTTTTTTCAATTCCAGATCATTGCTTTCTTTATTTTTAATTTTTTGCCGATTTGTTATTTTGTTATTGTTTTCCCTTTCTTTTTTAAAGTTCTTTCTTTTGTGAAAAACATATTTTCTTATTATTACGTCGGTAAGATCGAAAAATATTATGCATATTGCAGTAATTTGTATCTAATTGTAATTTCCAAAATACACGATTTACCAAAAAAAAAAAACAAACCGAGCAAAGCTCGGTCCTCCGGGTACTGTTAATTGAAACCTAGATAATATTATCCAAATCTCTCAAAGCTTGCGAAAGCCTCGTTTGAATAAAGGCTGCAAATAATTGAATACTAAGTAAATTATACATAACCCATTGCTGGTCAAGGGCCTCCTCTGTACAGAGAGTATTAGGGCATAGACAACCACGCGGACTACTTTTAAAAAAAATGTTTGAGATTACTTTGAAATATTAGTTTCGTAAAAAAAATAGTACTAACTCATCACTATATTTACCCAAATTTATGTTTGTTTATAGTGTGCTTTTATTTTAGCTCAACTCGTATTATAATTTTAAAAATGTCAAAAACGAGGATATCTACGAAGTTTCTTTCGCTTGTTTCTTTAGAGGAACCTCACGAAACGATGGTAGATTAAAAAAAATATCGAGATGAAATGTATATTTCTTATTTCGATGAATAAATTTGATTTGATTTGAGTACACCTAACAATTAAAATTTTATCCAAATCCAAATATCAAATTAATTTCGAATAAGTGATGAGAAAGCTAGCTGGGGTGGCTTCACGCAGCGGTTTCTATTGCACGGATGGCCAGTCTCGTCTGGGGTTGTATGCCTCGCAGAAGACCGACGTGAATTGGCTGTATTACACTTTCGTGTTTCGCCTGCTGAGTGAGGTAGCCGGGGCCCACTTTTGGTAAGATACTACGCATCTACAACGCGCTATCCCTACCCAGGTCATTTAACAAATCAATGCTTTTCATGAAGTGTTAAAGATTACCGTGTGAACATTGCTAAAAATTTAGGTGAGTGGGAGTACAGGTGAATTCACTCGTACCGAATGTAATATCTGAGTCACGTTCCCAAAATGCTGTACGGTGTACGGCGGCGTGTACAACTCATCACACGAATTTCATGAAAGGATCATCCAGGATTTTCATGAAATTTTGTATGTTCGTAGAGCGCCCCCGAGGCGAAAAATCGATTTAGCTAGGTTTCAATTTTAGAAAATGTCCTTTTATCCCTGTTTTCAATGAATGAAAAATGTCATTCGAATATGACGCGTGTACATATAACTGATTAAAGCGTCTAGGTGCGAATGCGAAAGACGTGGGTTCGATTCCTACATCGGCGAAAATTTGTGGTCAAATGAGTAAAAATAATAACGGCCATGGCAACCACCAAAAGCGGTTCTATAGTCCTATTTACACCACCAAGACTTTTGATCACCTATCACCGTGCACTTTTCAAGAGATTCTCTGCAACGCTATTCGATATCTATCGGGAGCAATGATTTGCCGTTTTGTTCATTTGCCTCCTCAAAAAAAAAAACCAACACAATAGTGAACTCCACACGGATATGAACCAACGACTATACTACCTCATGACCGTCGACGTGAACAAGAACAGTTGCTGTTCACGAATCTCAGCTTAAACAAAGGGCGGTGCACACTAGAGCGAAAGAGCTATTTTTGATCGCTTTCATCTTTTTTGTTAATATTTTGACACGCTATATATATCGTGTGTGATCGCGATGCTTTATTTTGGGACGAGGGTAATTTGTTTTGAGTGTCTGTGCGTGCGTGTGTGCGTGCATATGTCTGCGTGTTTCTGGGACACATGCAACAAGAGACCATTGCCATTGATCATTCGCCACGAAGCCTACAACGATTGTTTGTTGGACAAACTGTGTGAAGCCTTACGACTCGCCCTTTATTGGCGACTAGCTGCTGCCCGCGACCACTCCCGACTATTCCAGCGCTAAGTTGCCAATCGTATTCTTACTGAACGTGTACGCTTTAACATGTTCTGGTATTCCACAGTCACTAGAAAAATCGTCCCAATACTCAATCCTTATACCACCAATATGTGAAATGAAAAAGTTATATTTTACTAGGTATCACAGTGTACGAGCCCTCGCTTTCTATTCAGTATCGTCCCACACCCAATTAATTTGCTAATTGCAATGTTAAGTTTTGATTTGCCACGTGAAGATACAAAATCAGCTGTATTTTCACACATGATTTCTGTTGCATCTATTACAACATATACTAAAAACAGAATAAAAAAATATTTAAGTGAAATTTTCACACATGATTTCTGTTGCATCTATTACAACATATACTAAAAACAGAATAAAAAAATATTTAAGTGGGGCTTCCACGCAACAGGCACCGCATTTGTAGATAATGCTACGAAACCCTTCGTGCGCGAATCCGACTCGCACTTGGCTGGTTTTACCCTTACTCTTTAAGGTAAAGAGTTGAATCGTTAGATATTATAAGGCAGAGCTAAGTTTGGGCTCCAGTTTTACGTCAGTTACTGCACTTCAAACTTAACTCTACATTTATATGAAATTATTAATACGTTATATAAAAAACATATCTACAGGAACAAAGAGACAAAGCTACTTTTTTTAATGTTTACTGATTGAAGTTGTTGTTCAAATCAAACCTTATTGTATTTTTTGTGCCCCTTCGTGAAGCACATTTGGATGCAGTGAATCACCAGTCCTCTTTAGATCGACACGTGATCGTGCTTCCTTATTGTCCAGTCGTTTTTACTTCGTCGCTAACCTTCTGCTGACCAACAGTTGATCTTCGGATTATGAAAGTTACTGCGACGTATATAGCATCAGATAATAGCGTGACGGCCCGCGCCGAGAGTTCTCGAGTGCTCGAGCTTAGTAGCCCATAATCGAGGTACATCCTAGGCCTCAGGGCCCGGCTCCCTCAAGCCCATTGGATCTGTAAAGGCCTCCTCAAGGCCAACAGGGCACGATACAACCCAAAAAAAAGCATTAGTTATTGAGCGTATGGGTGGGTTCTTCCGAGTAAGTACCACGCCCATGTGGAAGATTGCTGTGATGTTCAATTATTTCGCTGTTGTTCTGGTTAGTGTATCGGGGTTTATCACCTTACTGTAAATATTACTATAAACAACACACCACGCTACAGACGGCTAGCGGTGCTGGTATTCACTTACCTTCAAATCACCTGCTTGCATACCATCTTCCATAAAAAAGAAGAGAAATATTATTAGATATGATACAAGCGTCGTACTGGGCTACACTTAAAAAATTACCTGTCCTCATAATCAGATCGATGGAGGATGCATCGA